CTCGGGGTACGGTCATTTTTCCGCCCTGACACGTGGTCCGCGGCCATTTTTCCGCCCCTGATACGTGGTCCGCGGCCATTTTACCGCCCCGCTGTGTGGCGCCCAGCCATTTTCCCGCCCCTGACGCGTGGTCCGCGGACGCCAGAACGGATTAATAATTAAACCCTATGGGGAAATTGGCGTCGGGTTACGACCAACTCGGGATACGCCCAGAGTCATGGAACGGATTAAGTTCGTATCCCGAGGTACCACTGTATTTTGGCACCCCCATCAGAGGCCATCTGCAGTGGGAACTGGGACTTCAGGATGGGCTGAGGTTGTAAATTGAATGGGCTTCTTCAGGCTAGTGGGAACCAAGGCTCAGTGTTACGCAAGAATCATTACAGAGTTATTGCAGACCACAAGTCTTCCCAATCTGCCAAGACTAGGGAGAATTGTAGGATTACAACCTTTAAGGATCAGCTTTTGATGAAGTCTGACCTGCTTCTTAGAGCCGTCTGACTCTGGCTCCAGTGACTCGCCAACCTATATTTGCTAGGCTTCCAGTTGTCTTCAAGTCATTTCAATTTTTATAGACTTCCCCCAAGCTCTCTGTAACCTTATTCACTTGACGGTAACATTAATTAGGATTTAATTGTCCTTGGCGCGGCAGTTGCTGTCTTGTGAAAGAGGGCCCCTCAGGGAGCATAAACCTTTTGGTTAAATGCACGATGCCACTTGATGGAGCCCAGCGGGGTGTGACATCTGGTGGAACCTTCTTGGAGGCAGTCAGAGAAATGGAAATAAAGCGGATGGCCATCTTGTCACCCATCGGTGCAACTGGAATAGGTGGTTGCGAGAAGGGAATTCCCTGACTTTGGCACTAAACGATTCTCTTTCGCATTCTGTAATCTGGGTCTCAAAATTTCCTTTAAGGGGAGCCCATCTTTTCTCAGATCAGCCGGGTTACCGTATTCTGTAATTAGTGAAAGGAAAACGTACCTCACAGGCCAAAGATCCTTTTTTCTTCTCTCCCATCTTCTGAGCCTTGTCTGGAAAATGATAATCAAGCTCTTTTCATTTGAGGAAGGCTGGACAGGGGTTTGTGGGTGATTCTAAAGCTCAGGGTGCAAAACCTCCAATGCACCCTCTTTATTTTTTTTTTAAACACCTCTTGCTAGTTTTCCTTAGCTGATTTTCTAGATCACTCTCACCCTTCTGAACCAGATATTTTGGGCCTATATGCCACATTTACACCCAATCAGTCTTGGTTTTCAGGGGCTAATGTACTTTTGAATCTTGTTTTGAATTCTTTTTCTTGAGATTTGAATAGAAAAACAGGGAAAATTATTTCACCTAATCTTAATGGGCATTCTGAATGGGCAGTTCTGCATTGAACAGGGGGCCTGGCTGAATGATTGTTAGAAATGCTAGGACAGTTAATCGTTTTTGGGGAGTGCATGCATAAGCCCAAAAGATTATGAATTCCCCAGTTCTTAAGTCAAGTGAATGGAGTCAAGTGAATGGAGGCTGCATAAAACAGAGAGCGATAATCTCCTCCCCCCACATGAGGAGGATGTTGCTCACCCATTGACCCATCCAGCAAAGATAGAGGCCTGCATTGTTTTCAGCTGTAAAATATTGGCAGACACGAAGTCGCTTTGCCAACACCCAAAACCTCCCCTCGACTGATAGCTGCGTAGGAAATCCGTCAGGCCGAAAGCCGCCTCGCTAGGCTTCCCCTCCTCCAAGCAAAGTGTGATAGATCAGCATTTATTTGAATTTATTAGCATAATTATTTAAAGGTTAATGAAGTGTTTTATAGGGTAATTCAACCTGCTGTTTCCGGGGAAGTCCTGGGAATTGGAAGATTTGCCAGCATCTTTAGGGCCTTTGATTCTGAGTAAACTCTTGGCTGCCATCAGCTCTTTGCGGGCGTGACATCTAAGCCATGTGGTGGAGTTTTCCTTGGGTCATCCTGGTCAAGGGTGTTGGCCATAATACTGTCCTCTGCTTTTCTTTCTCTGTCTCCTTCCAGGACAACACCTTCTGTTTCCAGCAGTAGCACTCTGGGTCACAGTGGGGTTGTCGATCTGCCTTGTCATCCTCCTGGTCATCCTCGCATATGTGTGCCAGAAGAAAATCCGGAAAAGTTGCAAAGAGGAGAAAGAGAATGCTCGTAATTGTTACTTGCGTGTAGACTTGCTCTGTCTTGATGCATACTTCCTTTTCGACTTCCCTTCTCCCTGCCCCCCACCCTGACATTTCTAGGGCTGCGTGGTGCTTTGAATTTGAAAGCAAAAAGATGCTTCAAGGGGATGGGAAGGTAGCACCTGTCTGCAACTCTTTAAAGCAGCATGTCTTTTGGGGGGGGGGGTGGCTGTCCTCTACAGTTATCACGTGGTCCTGGGAAAAGATACCTTTAATTTAA